GCCGCTGACTGCCTCGTTCACGGGGAGCATGCAGCTCCTGGCTGGGGTCAAGCTTTGCACGAGTCGACCAATCACCAACCACCCTCACTACGAGGACAAATATCTCCGACACAAGACCAAACAGGTCAGAGAGACCTTTGATTTTTTTCAACCTTCGCTTTCAAAAACACTTTAAAAAAATATGATGTGAAAAATTTTGAGTTTTACTTCATGTCGAGCTTTTTTTATGCAAATCTTTGAATATCTTGATAGCGACTCCGAATAATCGTATGGTTTTAACAGACCAGGTAGAACATTGAGACATGACGCGGTGGAATCAAGCGCTCGTCAATTTTTGGGCATATGATGTTATTGGTTTCATAACAAAATTTGTTCCTTTGTCCTGCTTTAGGGGAAAAAAATTCCCAGCTATCTTGAATAGAAGTCGAGATATTTGCGATTGAAGGACATGGGGGTCGACTGTTGTCAGAGGTAAAATTAGCGAGAAAATGGCCACCAAAGTTTGGTAATTTCAATAGCTTGAGCGTCCTTGAAAACTGAAAAATGACTTATTTTGTGCCTTTAATCAATGTTTTTCGGTAAAATTCACATAAAAATGAGTTTTTATATTTTTATAAGGTACTGAGTCAAAAAACAAAAATTTGATAAAAATTGCCCAACATGCTGTAAAATGCTGGTATCGTTGATTTAGTTATTTTGACAAGCGCCTGATTTCACCACGCTGCCTCACATTTGGTATCTGACCTCATGGTCTTAGTAGCTGGAAACGGCCAAAAATGTCAGATAGAACTTTGTAATTCCGAAGTAGTGACATGATCAAGCAGGTCAGACTCTTGCACACCTTCTCTCTAAAAATATCACAATAAAGTCACCTTATCGTAAACCAATGTGAAAAGAAAAAACCCATCTCTAAAAGTAGCAGCTGCCTTTTTACTGATTTAATTTTAACATTTTTCTTGAAATCATTAGATAATTTTTAAAAAGATAACTGCGCTCTCGTATGACCTCATGCAGTTGCGAGCGCCATAAAACCGTCAGATAGAACTTTGTAATTCCGAAGTAGTGACATGATCAAGCAGGTCAGACTCTTGCACACCTTCTCTCTAAAAATATCACAATAAAGTCACCTTATCGTAAACCAATGTGAAAAGAAAAAACCCATCTCTAAAAGTAGCAGCTGCCTTTTTACTGATTTAATTTTAACATTTTTCTTGAAATCATTAGATAATTTTTAAAAAGATAACTGCGCTCTCGTATGACCTCATGCAGTTGCGAGCGCCATAAAACTCATACAAAAAAAAAAGACAACTGTATGCCTAATTTGATTGCACATAAGTGAGTAAAATGAATAGCAAAAACGTTTGACATGGATTGTGACGGTATGCGCGGAAAATGTGTAACAGTCTAGTTTGCATGCACAGAGCAAAATACGAATATTACGAACAGATTTTCAGGTTCTGAATTTTTCTTATACTCGTGTAAAAAGCAAAGTTTTTCCCGCATCCAATCCGGACATTGGGGATTGCCTTGTTAGTGAGACAACTTCCTGGGCCCGAGGCTCGATCCCGGACTTTCCGCTTCCAAGGCGAGCGCACTAACCGCTTTGCCTCCGCACCCTCTATACTCATGTATTGTTTGTATTTTATACAAATGCTTAGGTGGGTGGTTGGCGGGTGCTCTGGTGTGGTTTGCTCCTTCTTTCCTATCAAACATCTATCGTCCTTATCTCCTCTTCTTCTTTTTTATGTTTGTTATTCTCTTGTAACACCTCTGATCTTCTGACGCTCATATGACCTTATGCAGTTGCGAGCGTCATAAAACCTCTACTAAAACAAAAAAACAAACAAATGCTTAGCAAAATTGATCATCATTGTCATTGGCTTTCTCACCCTGCACCACCTTTTTCTATCCTGGACAAGACTCTTGATGTTATTCCATGTCTTCCCACTTTTCTTTACATCAATTTCAATATCTGCGATTCTTCTAGCAAAATTGGTACATAATGAAAATATTTCCGCATTCCACCGGTTTCGCTCTGTGGGTGCTAAGTCATAAGTCTTATCATTTCGGCCTCTTGTTTTAGCCATATTTACTTACTGTACAATGTGGCATTTGTAAATCCTACTTCATGACCTCGATGATATCCTACACTGCCGTGTAACTACAGGGACGTAATCCTACCCAGTGTCTTGTAATAGAGATCCTTTGATTGTTTTAGCTATTTCCCTTGAAATATTAATTATTAGAATTGGTCGCTTTCGTTATTTTCAAGCACAAGGGGGATATCCTGAAAAATGCTGTTTTGAGAAAATCAAAAGTAAAGTTTTTGGCCCCTGTTCAGTCTCTTTAAAATAAAAGGAGAGTTTTCTCGATAACCAAACAAATGTACACACCAATGAAACCAAACTTCTTTTATAGGTAGGGCAATACCCACTTTTTGTGTCGGTCAAGATTTCTGGAAACCCCTGAAATCTTGGTTAGCCCGCTTGTCCTTAAAAATAAAAGCAACCAATTACCCAAAAAGCTTTTGTTTTCTACTGACCTGCTTCCTCCCTCATGCTCATGTCATGTCGTACTGTTAGAGCAAGAAGAAAATGTGCTTTTCTGTGAGATGACTCGCATCCTTCCATTATTTCTTTATTTCCTCTGTGTAACGAGTCCAGATCTAGAATCTGTAGGCACTAACCTGTTAGTGGGTGGTTGGCGGGTGCTTTGGTGTGGTTTGCTCCTTCTTTCCTCTTAAACATCTATCGTCCTTATCTCCCCTCCTTCTTTTTTACGTTTGTTGTTACTCTTCTTGTAACACCTCTAATCTTCGGCACTTATATGACCTTATTGTGTTGCAAGTGCCGTAAAACTCTTTACTAAACTACTAAACTAAACTAACCTGTTAAGCATCTTGATGAGGTGTACTCAGAATGTGTTGTTCATGGCGTGACAGCTCAGGGGGAAGTGAAGTCTCCCTCCTAAGTTAGGTACAGCTTCCGGGTCAGCTCCAGTAATGAGTAGTGGTGTGCATTCGCGTATTTCTTATTCAATAATTACATTATTACGTGACACTCTGTTTACTTCGTGTTCTACCGCCATCAGTCCCAATTATGGACTCAACACCTCTCTCCTCAGCTGTACCAGATTTACGGGAAGAGAGAGCCGGAGGACGTGCATGCCATCCTCAAGTCGTTTAAGAGTGACTACATCATCCTAGAGGACAGCATTTGCCGAGCGCCCCCGAGGGACGGATGTCGCACCCCAGACCTTGTGGACATTGACAACGGGGGGGGGGGTTGTTTGATTTTGGTCAAATCTCTGTTTGTTTCTGCTTTTCTTTAAAAACTTTACCCTGCCCAGTTCTATCCTCTGACACTTTTGTGTTTTGTGGTTACAACAAAATGTGCAGCATTTTGTATTTTTGAAATTAGCTGTTTGTCTTACAGTAAACATATAGGAGAATGTTTTAACTGATTCACTCCCCACCTGTTTTCCTGTTTGGACCACGCCCCCATTTCACACTACCTGATTATGGAAGGGTGATGTCAGTAATCACTTGTAAAATTGATCAATGTTAGTAAAAACCATAACATGTTATACATCAAAATGCTCACAAATGAATACAGAATACAACTGTTAGATTTTCATAAATTTGTTTTCAAACTGAAAACTGATAAAGCAACTGGAAGTGTGATTTAGTGAAAAGAACAAAATAAATTTTACGCACAAAATTCATCTTACCTCATATGTGACAGACAGCAAACTCCAATTTGAGTCTCCAACTCTTGACATCTCAAAGGTAATCCAATTATGAATCACTTAGAAACACCTTGCTTGAACCAAGCACAATAGAAAAAAATTACTGGAACCACAAATGGAGGCACCTGAATTCCACAATATTGACTATTTACACTATTTACACGAACACGCTCCAAGGACGATGAAACTGTACACCTCACACCCGCCTCTGCGACTCAGGTGTGTGGTACAGCTCGAAGCAGCCCTTAGGATGCAGATGAGGGTGATGTGCACAGCCTTTGCAAAAGAAGTTGGTCCTCTTTCGACCTTCTTTGGGCTTGCTGCACACCTCGCAGTTGCGATCCTTTTGGAAGTAGGCGATGAGGTGCTTTGTTCCCGTGTAGCGGTCGATGAGGCTGTTGGTGGGAGGCATATTAGATGGAGCTTTGTCGACTTCCCCCTGTGGCATGTGGGCGGCTGCCTGTGCTACCAATTCCTTGACGAGCACCCTCTTGAAGGCAGCCAGCGTTGACTTCTTCGCGTGCGTTTGGTTGTATAGGACAAGCGCATTTACTTGCACCAGCTCCATGAGCCATTCTTCCACCACTTTAGACTTTTCCTGGTGTGCAGGTTGTAGTATCCAACATTTTGGTCTACTTTATCACAGCCATTCATCCTGGCGTTGTAGCTGTGAACGGGCGCTGGCTTGGAGGCGTTGCGACCGCGGCTGGTCGGGCGCTCCTCCACTGTCGTGTCGCACATGGTTGACACCACCACCACAGGTTTTTTCGCCTTCTTGTCCTTCCATGCCACACAGAGGACTTCATCTTCTGGTGCATAGTACCAAGACCTCTCCGTGTGTTGGAGACGAAGGGTCTTGAGGTCTGTCGGAAAGCCGCGACGATTCAGGTTCAAGGTGCCGGTGAAATGGGTCCGGTTGTTTGACAGGTGCCGGATCAGATCCAGGGACGTGTAGAACCTATCACTGTAAACGTGGTGGCCTGGACCTAAGGGGTCCAGTAGGGTCTCGAACACTTTTACCGCGTGCGGATTAGAATGGTCTAAGTCCACGCGGTATGATGTCTCCCGCCCAAAATAAATGAGCAGGTTGACAACGTATCCCGTCTCGCTGTCAACCAGTCCAAATACCTTCACATGGTATTTATGTGGTTTCGACGGGTTGTACTGCTTGTACTTCCATCGTCCGGTCCACCCGACAACCATCTCGTCCAGAGCAAGGTATTTTCCTGGGTAGAATGCCCTGCGGAAGCTCTCAAGAACAGAGTTCACAAAGGGCTCAATTTTGTCTTTTCCCTCAGCAGATGAGTTCTCCGAGCAGTGAAGCATGGTATGGTAAATTGCCTCAAACCGCTTGCGGGGAAACATTTGCGAGTACCAGGCGCAGTGCTCTGTCTCGGCCTGTGACCAGTAGTCACGAATAGCTGGTCTCCTATTTAGTCCCATCTGCGTAGTGACAGCTAAAAATTTCAACAGTTCATACCGGGAAATATCCTCCCAGTTTGCATAAACAGAATGCTTTCTCGCCGGTGTGTTCTGCTGAACTTTTGTCAATGCGTACTCGTTGATGGATGATAGGAGTTTATTTTGTATGGTCTCAGTAAACAACGCTGTGAAGCAGTCAAGAGGGGTTGACGATTCGCTAAGGCCAGCCTCTTCCCTCACTCCAGACGAACCATTAGGAGGGGTGAACCTAAAATTCTTGAAACTCACCGGCTCACCTTCACTGATCTTCGCCCATGCTGGTAACTGAGTCTGAGCAGAGCTAGATCTAGCCCTAGACCCAGATGTAGTATTGAGTCTGGGTCTTTTTCTCGACGGGCCTTGCCTCACAGTACTCTCCTCATTTGTGTCTACACTGGTACTAGTACTGGCACCATCGCTAGCCCTTGAGGACACACCCCTTTCACTGACTTCGCCTTCATTGTCACTGTCACTACTTGGTGGACCAAAGTCGTCATCACTAGTACTAGCGCTCGACTCATACACGTAATCATCCTCAGATTCATCGTTACAAAGAGTTTGCAACAAATCAAGTGCTTTTGTGGCACTCAAACGCTTACTTGATGATGATGATGAAGATGAGGGTGGTCCTTCCGCCATGATTTGGTCCTGGGATGAAAACACGAAACGCAATACTAGTCAGAAAAACTTTCCCAAAGCACATAAAATCGACCACTTCGCTCGAGTTTCACTTTGAAAGTGACGCTGAAAGGATACGGAGTCAGAAACCAGTACAAAATTTAGTTTCGCATTAGTTTCGTATTAGTAAATTCCTCTTTAGTACCGTGACGCTCCCAGCGGCTCGCGGTCCAAACAACGAAACGCGCGAGCCGCTGCCAGCGGCTCGCGGGAGGGAATCAGTTAAGTATTACTAAATAAGTGAAAAATGTGTTGCTGCTATTTAAAAATTTAAATAAAAATTTTTTTTTTTTCTTGGGGGGGGGGGCTAATTTATTTCAGAATGAGCTGTGACATCTTGCAGGTGGTTGGAAGGAAGGGGCCTTTGTTAGGCTTAGCTTCTTTGCTTTCCCTTTGTCTTTCTTGCTCTTTCCTATTCTTGCTTTTCTTTGCCCATAAAAAATGTACGTTTTAACCAGTTGTACTGTAAAGCTGACTTCTCGTGTATGTTTTAATTAATTATTTTTTCCTTCAGCAACCTGATGATGACAGTGTGAAGATACCTGGCCTGGTAAAGTCGACTGTGCCCAGTTTCTGTGAGAACGTGAGGCATCAGAAACCAACATATTCAAAATACTTCCGAACGGTTTTTGTCAACAGAACTTTTAGAATTTATAAAGTAATGTGAAGAGAGAGGCTAGTATTTTTACATTGACGACCAAGTCATCTCAAGATTCATGGCCTTTATTTTGCCGTTCTTTTTTTGTTTTGTTTTGTTTTCTGTTACTGCGTTGTTACTTATCTGCTTCCACTTTTTATGCAGCTGCGGTTTACAAGGCTGAAATATTTGTCAACCTGTTCATGTTGTGACAGTTGGCTCCCTTACTTACTTGAGGACACAATTTTACTAAACATTTTTATTTTTTAACATTTTGCTCAAAACTACTCTTCACCATGTAGGGTGTGTGCTTCTAACTTCAAGGTCAGAATGGTAAATAAATAAATACATAAATAAATAAATAGATAAGTTTAGTTTTACTTCTTGTAGGCCTTATAATAACATGTCTTCCAGTTTCTGGATTTTATTTTTGCAACTATTTTAACATTTTTAAAGATTTTGTATTGCTTTCATTTAAAAAATCAAATTGTACGTACCAATACTTGCAGTCAGGAATTATGACATGAGAGCTATCGACAGCTGAGTAAATGTCTGTGACAGACAGAAAGTACCATATATGGAATGGTAATAACTTTGAGAGAGATTAACTGAAATGGGCAATTAGATAGAGTAACATAGCTGCCAACCTGTAGGTACGTAGAAAATGTATTTAAGAACCGGTACATTTTTGAGAGTCTTGAGTCTGTAAGTACATTTTTGTGTCAGAAAATAGAATGATACAGTGCAGCCTCTCTATAACGACTTCGTTGGGACCAGAAAAAAAAATGTTGTTATATAGAGTTGTCATTATAGAGAGGTAACCAAAAATATTACTAATGATATAATATAAGGAAAAATCGGGACCTGGGCACCATATGGCTATACAGAGGATGTCATTATAGAGAGGCTGCGTTGTATTCTGTTTTCTAGTATGGCTCCTCGCAGACTTGCAGATGCTGAAAAAAAAAATTATGAGCTTTCAACACTGGATTTGGGAATGATAATGAGAACGAAGCCCATTAGATGATTTTAAAATTTAGTTTTAGGAAAGTTTTATGGCGCTCACATCTGCATAAGGTCATATGAGCGCCTAGAGCTGTGTTCACACGGGAGTGGGCGCTATAGAAATCCTCTACATTATTATATGAGCGCCCTTTAGATAAGTGGAGAGACCGTCACTAAACATATCTGGTGTTTTTGCTGCAGGTCTGTTTGGAATAGTTTTTTAATTTATTGCAAGCGGAAAAGTGTTTTTAAAGGTTTTGGAGGGGGGAGGGGGTTGCCACCATCTTGACTCGTCACATACATAAAGTTTTAATTTTTTTATTTGGAAAAGTTGGCAGCTACGGAGTGAAAGTAGAAAAGCCCTTTTCTTTGGTCTCCTTTTGAAGTTGAACGGCAGCAAGAGATGGAGCAAAT